TTTTTTTATAAATTTCTAATTTAGAATTGCTGAATTCATTTGTTTTCTAAATTACCCATAATCAATTCTAAAATATATTTAATTAAAAAATAATTTTTTTTAAAATATAGGTAACATCAACAATTGCTGTATTAACCACGATAAGTTGAAATTAAATTGGTTAAAATTCTTTAAATTTAACTTTATTAGTTGCTATAATAGGCAGAATGGGCGTAGAGATTGTGATTATTATTTCTGTAAATGTTTAAAGGTAAATAAAATTCGAGAAATATATTAGGGAATTTAAATCAAACCCCTTAACATGCTAAATTAAAATCTAAACAGGCAATCTCTACCAAAAGTATCAAATGTTCTAATATTATTAACTCATTCTGTACAGCTGTAAAATTGTTTGGCAAAAAAGCTTACAAGAATGCGGCAAAAGATAAATATAAACCTTGTAAAATACCAAACAGTAAGTGAAATAATTTTAAAAATAAATTTTAATATTTTTATTATAAATAATATCGAAAAATTAAAAAAAAAGTATTTCACCAATATGTGAAGCATTATTTTTTGCTTAGCTGACTGAAATTAAGGTTAACTAGAATAGCCGTAATTAACAATCATATAATTTCAATTATTGCCAATAAAAGCTTCACTAAATAAAAATATAAGTTTTCCATAAAATCGTTTTATTTTAAAGATTGTGCAAGTATAAATTGAATATACTAATCACTCCCAGCCCCGAATAACCTTTTGCACTAGCTGAACGAAGGAAATTTCTATAGCCCAGTCTGTTCTACTATACTTTTAATCGGCTTTTAATAAACATTTAAGAATATTAATATATATGTATGTATTATATATTTTATTTCAGATAAAATAAATAAAATTTAAATTTAATTATTTACTAAATGTAACAAAATAATTTAATTTATTCTAAATAAAAATATTTGCAATTATTTAGAGTTTAATCATTTTTCCAAAAAAATTCTTTCACTAATTTTTGATTTACAAATTGTATTTAATGGAATTGAAGAAATAGTAAAAGATTGATTAATGCTTTTGTTTGAACCCGTTCTTTCATTTTTATTTAATTGTTTCTAATAATTTTTCTGGACTCGTGGCCTTCCAAAATTTGCAAAATTTTCGTCTGCGGAGCCAAAAAAGGAAAAAAAACTGTCAACGAAATACAGAGTAATTATGCCGCGATGCCAAACGTACATTTGCCAAAAAAGTTTTTATCTCGCCATTTTGTGATTCATTTGATTTTATATCGAATTTTACTGAAATGAATATTTTTAGTTTTATTTGTATCATCGACGATTATAAGAAAATAAATTCTTTGCAAATTCAATTATTAGCTTTAAATTTTTTATTTTAAACTTTCGATTTATTTTGCTAAAATTCTCTGATGGCAATTAACAGATTTACAAACAAACAATTTCTTAAAAAATTCTAAAATTATATACAAAAAAATATTTAAAAATTATTTTTCTAAAAAAGGTATAATTTCTCTAGTTTGAGAATCAGTCAATTTTATAGCGAATTTTGCTAAAAATTATTTTTAGGTTTTAAATGTATGTAGTATATATCAGTGGTGGGCCTCGTCCCGCAAAATACAAGACACGATATTCACAAGATACGAGATAAAATTCTCTGACGGCAATGAACAGATTTACAAACAAACAAAAAATTTTTTTTTCAAAATACCAAAATTCACCAAACTACTACATTTCACCATTTATAGGAGGTAATATTATCGAATCAAAAATATTTAATAATAAAAATAAATAGCTAATTTTAATCCCATCGCAAGTTAATTAATTAAAAGAATATTTCTAAAAATAAAAATATTTATTATTTGGTTAAACAAAGAATGAAAATTCAAAATTTTTTTTCAAATATTATTCTGATTCAAATATTTATTTATTTTTGTAAAAGTAATAATTATAATATTTTTACCAAACAAAAATAATTATTTAGGTAACCAAGAAACTCCTTGGGCTTGTGGAGCTACAGGAGGAGTTTCGGAAGTAAATAAATATTTTATACAAATATTGCAAATAATATTTTTATTATTTAAGACGATTGCTAAATGGTTTGCTAAAGCAACCTGTTCGAAATATAAATGTAAATATCTAATTGAAATCTTGTCCAAATTCAATTCGGCCGGCCAATTGGGGACTGAAACCCCAAATTTTGGTGTTACAAAGTTGGGGTATGGTTCCAAAATATTTCTTCGTGTTCTAGACCTACGCCCACCTGATCTGGGACCGTTCCGTACTTTATACCTAATTTAGAATTACAAAATTTATATTTTTTCTAATTATCCTAAGATAATTAATTTTCAATTAAAAAGATTTTTTTTCTTTAAAAATTTTTATAAAATATTTCAGGTGACGTCAATAATTGCTGCATTAACCACGATAAGTTGAAATTAAATTAGTTAAAATTTTTTAAATTTAATTTTATTAGTTGCTATAATAGACAGAATGGGCGTGGACCTTGTGATGATGCTTTCTGTGGATGTTTAAAGGTTTGGAGAATTCAAAAAATATTTTAGAGAATTGAAATTATATAAATATTAATTAAAAATATTTTTGTTCTAAACCAAAATAAAATTTAGAGTCTCTAATAAGGCCAAATGTTTTGATGGTATTAAAGCATTTTGTTTAACTGTAAAATTGTTTGGAAAAAACGCTTACAAGAATGCAGCAAAAGATAAAAATAAACCCCCTAAAAAACCAAACAGTAAGTAAATTAATTTAAAAAATATTTTTGTCGACAAATTATTGTTTTAATTGGGTGCCGGAATTTTGGTCACCGGAATTTTGGTCACCAAGGATTTTCGGAACTTTGGTCACCAACTTTTTTGGAATTTTGGTCACCAGCGGAATTTTGGTCACCAAGTCAAAAAACGGAATATTGGACATTGAAATTTTGGTCACCAATAGGAATTTTGGTCACCAAGTCAAAAAACGGAATATTGGACATTGAAATTTTGGTCACCAATAGGAATTTTGGTCACCAAGTCAAAAAACGGAATATTGGACACTGAAATTTTGGTCACCAATAGGAATTTTGGTCACCGACCGGAAAAAATAATCTTATCTAAAACTGATATCAAAGTGATAAAAAATGATTTTTCAACCCCCAGTTGATCAATTTCAATGTTGATCACTCTCATGGCTGATCACTCCCTCAGTTGATCACTCTCGATCACTCTTCCGGATGATTGATTAACTGGCAGAGTGATCAACATTGAAATTGATCAACTGGGGGTTGAAAAATCATTTTTTATCACTTTGATATCAGTTTTAGATAAGATTATTTTTTTCCGGTCGGTGACCAAAATTCCTATTGGTGACCAAAATTCCAAAAAAGTTGGTGACCAAAGTTCCGAAAATCCTTGGTGACCAAAATTCCGGTGACCAAAATTCCGTACACCTTTTAATTAGTTGACTTAATTATATACTTGAATAGTCTTAAAGAGAAAATATTCATGACCTAAAGAATAGAAGTATAAAAAATTTGTAAAGTCTCATTTTAAACTAAAAATAATATTTTGGAGAGAACTTTCATTATAGGCTTCCCCCCTCCCCCCAGTTTACTCAACATTTAGAACCACTAACAATCCAATAATTTCCCTTATACCAAATTTAGTCTTTACAAAATAAAAATATACAAATCAGTAAAAAATTATTTTATTTTAAAGATTGTAACAAATACAAATTAAAATGAAATAATCGGGTGAGGGGCACAACTTCGAATGACAAAACTCCGAATTACCTAAAAATTAATTTTAAAAACTATTAATATATTCTACTATTTCTGATAAAATTAATAAAATTTAAATTTAATTATTTATTATTAAATATGTATAAAAAACAATTATTTATTCTAAATATTTAAATAATTACACATTTATTTATTTCTAATTATTTAAAGTTTAATCATTTTTCCATCAAAATTTCTTTCACTAATTTTTGATTTACAAATTGTATTTAATGGAATTGAAGAATTAGTAGAAGATTGATTAATAAATTTATTTAAATTAATTCTTTCATTTGTATTTAATTGTTTCTAATAAATATTTAAATTAACAAAAATTTAGATAAATAGAGAAAGTGTTACTCTTTATTAACTACATAAACCTAAACAAATACTACATATAATCCCTCTCAATTACTCCTCTATCCTCCCATAATTTATTCAAAATTTTACCCCATTATAATTCTCTTTAAATTCATTAATAACTACATCCCCAACAATATTCCTTTGCCTTTGTTTATCCATTAGAAATCGGTGAATTAAAATAATAGCCATTATAGCTGCTTGTGTTAATGTTAATATAGAAGAACCCATAAATAATGACATCTATATTTAAAAATATTTATTTTCTTTTGTCAAATTAAATTAACTTGACCACCAATTTGAGCAATTAATCCCATAAAAGTAACTGTTGCTACTTCTTCTATTAATTCAAATTGTAAATCATTATAGGAAAGATCAATTCGATAAACAAAAGGGATTGGACTTGAATTTCCATAAACTAATAAAGCATCTATTTTCTTTTTTTTAAATTTATTTTTTAAAATTATTTAATTAAAAACCTCCATAGAAACTGTATATTCCCAACGATCACAGGCAAGTATACACTAAAAATGATTAAAAAATAAGGGGTTTTATGGAAGGGATTTAATGAAGAGAATTAAATGCTCGAGGGGGGGGGGGGGTGTAAGTAACGTTAAATAATTTTTTAATAATTATTTTTAGAATAAAATTAAATTATTATGATTTGAAGAGCACCAAAACCAGAATTTCTAGGCTTAAAATATTAAAAATTTTGAGGAAATTTCTTCAATGGGGGATAAACCGTTAATAGTAGATAAACTTTAAAATGCCCTCTCTAAACGTTCAAATTTTTTTATTAAATTATTTACAGATTGTATTGTATAATTCGCATTCTCTACTGCATTTGAATAATTTTCAATAATTGTATTTGGATCACAACTTTAAATTTTAACAAAAATAATTTTAAAATTTAAAATTAATTTCTCAAGCCTTGAAAGTTTTGTTGGTCTAATTTCATTCATATAAGGATATGTACAGTTTAATGGGCCTTCCAAATATGTTTGTATCCAACGCTCAATGTAACAAATATCTTTACCTACATTTAAATATTCATCACTACAAACCTTTAAAAACAAAAATTATTTTTTAATAATTATTTTTTAGAAAATTATTTTTCTTTTTTAAAAAGTATTCTGTTTATTTTTGTTCAATTTAATAAAAATAATTTAAAATTAAAATTACTATCCAACAATTATTTTTTATTTATTTTTTACTTCAGCAGCAGGAAAAAGTCTAATTCGACGGGCAGATAAACGCATTTTTGTCCAAACATTCGGGTACAAATAATAACGAGGAAAAGGAGCTATTTGAGGTTTATGTTCAGCAACAAAAGCAATTATTTCCTTAAAATTTTTTCAAACAATTTTTGAAAAATAAAACTACTTTTATTTTATTTAAATTTTTATCCATTTCTGGTGGATACATTAATTGAATTCTTAATTTCCCTAATTCGTCAAAATTCTTTTGATAAAGTGAAATAGTTCGAAAACAACGACCTCTTCGAATTAAATATATTGGTTCAAATACCTAAAAAGAAAAATACACAAAAAAATAATTTCAAAAATATAATTACTTTACAACAATCTAATTTTGTATCCCCCAATTGACAATGTTGAAGGAATTGTTTACATTGAAGGCCAAAATTATCAAAAAACTTTAAAATTAATATTTTCTCCTTAATATTTTTTCCCCAAAAATCCCCTTACATAATGAAAGAATTCCTCAATTGTTCTTTTTCCTCGAAATATCAAATAAAAATTGTTCATTCGTTCTCTTGCTTGTTTATCCAACCAACTCACGTTCATTTTCTAGTTTATCCACAGAAGAGAGAGTTTTTTAAAGAAAATTCCAAACTTTTATTTAAAAAATCAAAACTTTTCTTTTTTTTCTTTCAATTTTTTTTCCAAATTTTAAAAATACTACCTGAAATCCAGAACCGGCAATCATGTAAAAAGCAAAATTAAATACATCCTCTTTTGAATATTCTTTAATTTGATTTTTATTAGCTACAAAAAGATGCTTTTCCAATTTTTCCAAATCAATGTTGGCTGCATTTGTTGGACAAACTGTTAGTTGAGGCAATAATAATTTATCTACCTTCAAATTAACAGTTTATAATTTTTCTCGAGAAAGGTATTAACCCAACAAGCTTCGAAATTAAATATTTGTTCGTACTTGTACTTGGTACCACCCTTAATTTTGCCTCGCATTCGTACTATAGATTAACACATTTTTTGTTCGTATCCTACTATTTCTATTACAAATTTTGGTACAAGCGTCGAAGCACAGGAAGTATTTTTAAATAATTAAAAATTTCAGTTTAATAAAACATATCTCTAATTTAACTCGTGCTAACCTTCTCACTAAAATCATTAATTTAAACTTTCTAACCGATTTAACATTTATAAGTGTTGCAGATGGAACTTGAACATATTCGTGTATAATTCTAATAATTAGATATACTAATTTTATAAGATATATTTTTTAAAAAACCTATAAATTGTAAAAAGTCCAATTAAAAGGCAAACACTTAAAATACTAAACCACAATATTCTATACCAAGAATATCTAGCATTTAAAACACTATGTATACCCAAATAATCAAGTCCTGGATAATCTTCTGCTAAGGTTCTTCTAACTAATTCTTTCTTTCCTTGTTTTTGACTGAAATTTAAATTAATTTTTTTTGATTAAATTAGGAACTGATCGAGGTAAAAAGAACTGATCGAGGTAAACACTGAACTAATAAATTCTCTCCTACTCTTGGATATTTTTTATTTGTACTATTTTACTTTATTCTGCCTCTTAAATTGTTTATTACTCCAAAAATTTTTGTGATAGAGGAAAAAATTAATTCTATTTAGACTTTTTACTCTACATAGTGGTAACAAATTCAAAAAATCAAAATTTAATAATTAATTATAATTAATTTTAACCTTAATGTTGAACTTTTATTCATTTTTCGCAATTTATTTAGCTCCTATTTGATAATGCATACAAATATGTATCTAATTGTAGAGTTTAATAAAAGTAAAATGGATTACAAAATTAATATTTATATAAATATAAAACAAGATTATACATATTTTTATTATTTACACGTTTATTTATTGACCAACAATAAATTTTTGTATTTTTACAAAAATAAATATTATTTTCTCTCACTCTCTTTTCACTCTTCTCAATTTCAATTTTTATTCTTCGAGGTAAACAATTGAAAAAAGTTTTTGCGTGACTGTCAGTGCGTGGAAGAGATTACATTGGTTAAAGTGAGGGAAATATTTTGTTGAGTTATTTAAAGAATTGTGGAGGGTGATAGATGGATGATGATTTGAGAAGGAAAAGGGGGAGTAAGAAAAGTAGATTAATAATGATTTTTGTATTCTAAATTTTTGAAGGGGAGGTTGTATTATTCGATTAGAAAGGTGAATTTTGAAAATCCCTGCTTAAATATTTTTTAATTAGCAACTAAAACTTAATTAGCAACTAAAGACTTTTTAATTACCCAACTAAAAACTAATAAATCACAGAAATAAGCATTTAAAATATTTAAATAGTAATTTAGAATTGTATTGAAGAACGTTTGTTATGTTAAAAATTCATAATCTACAAAATTACAAAAAATATTTTTTTCGAAAGAAAAAACAACACATTCCTTTCAAGAATAATCCATTAACTACAAAATTAACAAAAAAAACACGAAAACTATCCAACCAAAATAATTCCAAAATTTGGAGTAAAAATAAAAAAAACATTCAGTTAAATTATTGGAGCGAACAATCAGATTTTGTTTTTTATTTGATTGGAATTTTCAAAATTTTGCGAAATGTAATAAATTTACAGGATTTTTTAGAAATAATAAAATGATAATAAAAATATTTTTTAATAGTACGGATAAATAACTTACCGTAAAAACTGTATTAATGTCCCTCCCTGAATTAGTTGCCCCACCTGTATTAAATACCCCATGTAGAGGGAGATCAAAACAATAATTGCCCTCCCTTAAATAATTACCCCCTATTTTTTACTACACTAATTATAAAGTTGTTAAAAAATCGTTATAAATTTTAAGGATAATATACATACATAGAAAAGAATCGGGAGATTAAGAGGAGATAGGGAATATATCGGGAGATTTGTGTGAGCCAAGAGGAATATCGAGGTTCTAAGAGCGAAAATAGCGAATTAATCTTCCATATTAATCTTCCAAATCTAATTAACTTGTTGATAACGTTCAAATACCTCTTAATCCCTCAAAGTCCATTATATCTCCTTTGATATCAACCTTACCTCCCCCTAAAAATTTCTCAAATCTATCTAGATTCCCCTTTTAATAATGGCATTTAAGGATCAATATCAAAAAATAATTTCGTCTTCATTTGCATTAAAAGCATCTGACCCTTCATATTCTTCACCCTTCATATTCCGCATTAGCCTCTAACTCATAATTTTCGATTGACTAGGTGACTATATATCCCAAAACGGGATTATTGTTGGTATGGCACCACTTTTAGGTACATTATATAAAAGTATATTAAGAGAATAGGGTATATTCCCTAAATAGGAATCATAAATGCTTGTATACATGCTCATCGTGTCTTTATATATCCCAGGAAGGAAGCATTGGCGTTATTGTACCATCTTGTGGTATATTATATATGAAAATTAAGGGAATATATGTATGTAGAATATCTGTAAAAATTTAATATTTATCTCTACATTCGGTAACATATTGTAAATCATTGTTCATATCTTTATGATAAAATAAAAAATTTACAGGTCGAAATAACAATTGCCCTCCCTCAAATAATTACCCCACCTCTATTATTTACCCCCTCCAGCGAGAGATCGAAACAATAATTACCCAGGGTACAGTTTTTACGGTATATGACGTAAAAATGATTTGAAATTAATCATAATTTTAAAAGTAAAAAACAAATATTTTTACATAAATATTTTACAATTTTACAACATATTAATTTTTAAATTTAAAATTATTTCTTTTAAATAATTCTTTGGACTTTTAGTTTCCAATAAATTAAATAATTAGATATAAATATTAAAGTAATTAAATTTTATTCTCTAAAATTGTTTGAGATCAAAATTATAAGATATATATTATCAAAAAATATAAAGAAGTTGTTTAATTAATTGTTCTTTAAAATTATTTTTCTTCTCAATAAAATTAGCCAACACGCATTGCATGCATACGATCAGTTGGGTTACGTTTAGCTAATGGTCCATCTCGCTATATTTAAAATTAATTTTAATAATATTGGATTAAATAAAGTTATTTTAAGGTAGGAGTAATTCTTAATTTACATAAACTTGAAATTATTTTGCTTAACATAGACTGAAAATTATAACAGAAAACTAAAAGTAAGTAAGAATTATCTCAATATTTTACATATTTATTAAAATTTGTATTAAATCAAAAATCACCTCAACAGATTGAAAAAGTCTACGACCATCATTCTCTCGATAAGCAGGCATTCTTTGTACAATATCACGCCAAATATGCGTATAAAAATTTCGTTTAGTTGGCGATCCTAAAAATAGTTGATCATATTTATTAGAAGATTTGGAAGAAGTTTGTGATGATAAAGAAGAAGATTTTGGGTTATCTAATATATCATTTTTGTTGACTTAAAAAAGAAAAAAAAGATAAAATTTTTGTAAGGATAATTAATTCACGAAATTAAGCCCTCCTTCACCTCCCCCCCCCCTCCCCTACCAGTAATTTAAAAAATTATTTTTAATTAATTTGTCCAGCACCTTTCTCGGTATTTTCATTAATTTCAGGCTCTTCTTGTAAAGTATTAGATGGCGGATCCAAAGAAAGAAAACGATAACCAAAAAGGGGGCTAACAAATGCCCCTCTTGCCATTGGAGCAAAACGTCGGTAGAGATTTTGGGGACGTGTTAATATTGTATCTACAGCCTCGTTTTTGTCTTCAAAATTAAAAAAAAATTATTAAAATATTTTATCTATTTTATTTACTTTCGTCAAAATTGTAAACTGGATAATAAGCAGAAACGCTGCTTAAAATAATTAAAAATGTAAATGAGATAAATGAAGAGAATTGTACTGAATTAAATAAAGTTGCCATTAATTTATTAAATTTAATTTTTAATCTATAATTTAATTGAATTAAAGGGAGTATTATAAAGAGAATTATTTAGTTAAATTTAAAGTTCGAAATATAATAATTCGAGAAAATATCAAGCTTAACTAACAATATTTTAAAATAATACTATAAATAGCAACTTGATTAGAAGAAATTTTTCTGTCTTAAAGGCGTTGGGGCAGATTTTTTGACCTGCCAAAGTTATTATTTTTCAAAAACTTTTCCGAAAAAATTCAAAAACCTTTCCCGATGTCTCAAAATGCCCAAATAAGGCCCTTGAGCCTTTATTGGACCAAGTATTTTTTGCTCAAAATTATGTGAGTTATTAAAAAATTTTTTAAAGATTTTTTATTTTAAAATATTTTAAAAAACAAAAAAGTATAATGTAAAATTATGTTAATGTATAAAATTTTTTTTTAAATTGAAAAAAAAATAAATGAATGAATGATGAGAAAAAAAAGAAAAAATATTCGGGATGCTTTTTTTAATTAATTATTTATATACACATCATTATCTAGAGAATATTATTATTATTTTGTTAATGTAATAAGTAGTCTGTCTTTTCATATCTTCCAAGAAAAAAATGAGTAAATTAAATATTGGATAAAAAAAAGAAAGGAAAAAAGGAAATGTTCCTCTTGTGTTTGGTCTATTTTTGAAATTTTTTTAATTAAATTAATTTAAAATTATTTTTTTCTTTTTTTTGTGTTTTATTCTTTTTTGTCTCTTAAAATTATTTTAATTAATAATTAAGAGAAGAAGGAAATCATTTAACCATCAAAAATTAGCAAAATCAAGGTCAACAAAAACTTCCACATTTTTATGTTCTTTCCTTTTATGGTTAAAATTAGTTATTTAAAATAAATTTAAAAAGAAAATATTTATAATTAAAAATTCTTTTAAATAAATTATTTTGCATTAAATTTAAGAAAAATTTAAATTTAATAATTAGGAATGGGAAGAAAGCTTTTAATTATTGTCCAGACCGTTTTTATATTGTGAGATAAATTTTAATTTAAAACTAAAATAAATTTAATTTTTTTTGAAATGGGGAAAATGTTCAAAATTCAAAGAATTTATTACATCAGAATCTTGAAACTGAAAAATATTTATTAAGTTGGAGTTATCGCTTAGCCACCCCCCCTATCCAAAAAACATTAAACCATCTAATATAAATTACTGGGAATAAATTAAATAGCTGATAAATTAATTATTATTTATATTAAATTAAAATATCAATCTAAACTTAACGAAAAAATTTAATTACCAAATTTTTAATTTTTGTCAGAAATTCTCAAAAATATATAACTAATTTTAATTTTCCAATTAAAAATGATTTTTATTAAAATAAATTCTTTTAAAAATCCATCATTCAATAATTATTTTTCAAAATTAATTATTTGTTTTATTTTTCTTTTTAATTTATTTGAAAATTTTATTGGAGAAAAAATTAAACAAAACAACGAAAATAAAATATTAGAAAATTTGGATGTTTTGGAATTACCTGTTAAATTATTTCCAGAACCTCATTGTAATCATCAAGTTAAATTACATTCAGAACAGGGACCTCTTGTTAAAAGGTAGAAGAAAATAAAATTTAAAATTAAGGAGAGATTTAATAAAAATATATTTTTATTTGATAAAGTTAAAAATTATTTTAGAATAAAATAGAGGAAATGATAAATAAAAAATAAAGCTAAAAAGCAGTGTGGCCTATAAAACTAAATTGACCTTTATTTATATATTCTTTTACCTCATAAAATCTAAAATATCACGCAAACATTTATTTTTTCTTTGAAGCTAGAAATATATAAATAAATTATTAAAGTAAATGGTTAATAAAGAGTTTTATATTTAACATTAAGAAATAAAAAATAATTTTTTATTATGCTTGTAATGTACTAAAATAGTAAAGGCAAAAAATATTTTTAATCAAAAAAAAAATGATTGTAAAGTGCTAATTTCAGTTAATTAATAATTACTATATTTTTATTTTTAACATAAATTACGTGATATAAACAAATTTTTAAATAGAAATTAGGGAATATAAAAATTTATTTTTTATATTTAATTTACTTGTCAGAATTAATTTTTCACTACGTATAATTAAGTGCCTGTTTGTTTAAAGAGTATATTTTAGTAAAATAAAGTACAACTACTGGTAATTATGTATGCTTAGAATTTTATATTAATTAATTAAAATTAAAAATTAATAAAAAATTCTATTTCCGGATTAAATTTCTGATTAATTAATTAAAATATTTACTTAGGTTATTTAAAAATTTTAAATTAATTCAGAATAAAAGGCTGTACTTTAGTACGTGGGTCCCGGAGTTAATATACAAATGTTATACCATTCGAAAGAGCTAGTCGAGCTGAGTCGAATGCCACCAGTTTTAGCCCGAGGAAAAATTTTTGGACCGAGATATAGGTCCCTGAAATTTGAAAAAGCATAGGGGGGACCAAGCTCTTTTTTGGGGTGAAAAATTCGAAAATGCAAATGATACCTCATTCGAAAGAGCTCCTCGAGCTGAGTCAAATGACACCAAAATCAACGAAATCCGACTTGATTGGACAAAGTTATGATCTTTTATTTTAGCTCCTTACCTATGGCATCTGTGGAGATTTTTGCTGCTACGGAGGCCCCAAATACGTCCAGAGCAAGGGAGATAGGAATAGGTTTATGTTACGAGCCCAGACCCAGCGCCCGTAGACTCCCCGCGAGGCGCGTGCCGCAAAACCCCGCGCGAAGCGCGGGGTTTTGCACAAGCGCCTCGCCGACGCTCCATAGGTTTAGGTTTTTTGTTTTTTGTATCATAACTTTGTCTAATCTTGTTCAATCACGGTGATTTTGGTGTCATTTGACTCAGCTCGACGATCTCTTTCGAATGAGGTATAATTTGCATATTCGAATTTTTCACCCCAAAAAGAGCTTGGTCCCCCCTATGCTTTTTCAAATTTCAGGGACCTATATCTCGGTCCAAAAATTTTTCCTCGGGCTAAAACTGGTGGCATTCGACTCAGCTCGACTAGCTCTTTCGAATGGTATAACATTTGTATATTAACTCCGGGACCCACGTACTAAAGTGACCCCGAATAAAATTAAAGGAAGTTATTTTATTTAATAAAAAAGAATATCTATATTTATTAAAGTAACATCGAGAAAATTTCTGGGAATATTAGCCATACTTCTAGCTAACGGCTGTCATTTATTAACAATTTTAAAAACGAAAAAATAAATTTAGAAAAGTCTCTATTGGCGAAACAATTGTGCATATATGGAGTTGTTCTTATGGAATTACTGAAAATAATTCAATAAATAATTGGAGGAATATTAATTATAGAGATCGTACTTATTGTATGATGGTGAGGAACTGCACGGTAATTAATTTTAAATAGAGAAATATTTTTAATTTAATGCATCACATATATGTACATAAGTATTAATAATAAAATAATTAAAAAATATATCTAGTATACATATATTTATTTATTCCCTTTAAAAATAAAGTTTCAGGTTTCCAATCAAAGTCGGCAAACAAAAAGTCCAGAAATAGGTGTCTCTGTAGTAGAAATTGTAGACGAATTTGGCTGTTCTAATTGGCCAGATATTTTACCACAAATAAAATATCATGGAGATCTAAAAGCAACATTAGAGGTGCAGGCATTTGCTTTAGAATATGATAATGTATTTTTAATTTAAATTAGGTTTTATAGAGAAAATAATTTTTTAGACAGAAATGAACTTTTCTTGCCAAATTACTTTACTTTTGAAAAATAATGGTCGTTGCCGACGTCCACAATGTTTGAAAACAAAGAATTAATTAATAAAAATAAGCCTGATAAACAATAAATATTATCATATCTATAATTAATAATTGGTTTTTAATGTTTTTTACTAAAAATTTCATAAATTCGCACTTAAAACTTGACTGTATTCATTGACGCCTCATTATAATCTGAATTAGAAACCGAACTGGGATGATCGTACAATAATATTGCGAGATATCTCGAAAAATAATGATATCGATAACTGAAATTTTTGTTCGATAACTCCTCTCGATAACAGAAAAATATTTAAATGTATTAGAAATTGTATTTCTTAATACTAAATAAAATTAAGAAAATAAATTTAAATATTCTTAAAAATTTATTCTTTTTTAATAAATCCTAAACAATTTTTAATAAAATTTACTAATTTTATCTATATTTAAATCTTATTAACGTTTTCCATAACCACCACTCATCCCACTCATTCCCATATTTGATCCGTATCCACCACTACTTCCCATAGTTGGTCCATATCCACTACTTCCCATCCCCATTGAACTTCCCCCTCCACAACAACCACCACCGCCCATATTACTTTAAATTAATTAAAATAAATGAATTTTTTTTAATTTAATTTTATTTCTTACCCTCCACTAAAACTTGGCTGTCCATAATCTTAAAAATAAATATTTATATAAATATTTTAATAATTTTTTACTTCTTATCATCCTAATAGCCTCACTTCCAATAAAAAATGCAAAAACAAAAATAAAAATAATTGAAAAGAATTTCATATTAGAAAACTCAATCTAAGATAAAAATTAAATATAATATATTTAATTTTTTTAAAGAAATGGCAAAAAATCACAAAAATTTCTGAAGAATTTTATTTAAAAAATTTTATTAAAAAATAAATATCTGATTTGATTTTTAAAATTAAAAACAATTTAAATACTTATTTGACTTATTGTTTTTTTAAGTAAATGGCCTAAGGGGTTATTTTACGTAATTTATGTATAAAAAATATTTTTGGCCAAAACAAAAGATTTTTTAATTAAAAAAGAACAATTTAAAGTAATTAATATTTCAATGAAATTAATTTTTAAATTAAAAAAATTTAAAAAAAGAATAAAAGTGCAGATTTAAAAAAAGTATTTATTTTTAACCGGTTTTAAATTATTTTTTAAATTGTAATTATACATATTTATTTTTTATTAAATTATTTTAAAATTAACTATTATTTGGAATGATGTAAATTCTTAATTTTAAAAATTGTTATTGTGGAAATTCAAAATAAATATTTTTAAATAAAAATATTTTTTACATTTTTTAATTAATTTAAATATTTGAATTTTGAAAAATAAACTTTTTTAAAAGAATATTAAAGTTGAAAGAGTAAAGCTTACTAGGAGATTAATAAAATTAATTGACTTTAACTAAAATATTTTTATAAATTCTTAAAATAATTTTTATTTTCCCTTTTTTCTTAAACAAAAATTTAAATATTTTTTCCTTCTTTTTTGTTATTATCTATACAAATATTTAAAATTAAAAATAAACAATGGAAATAATAAAAATATATATAATATTTATTATTATTATGCAAACCATTTTTTTTATTTATTTAGGCTACTATTTAATTAATAAAAAGAAAAGAAAAAATTAAGTATTAATCAAAGATTTTCACATTTTATTATTTTATTTTCCATTCACACTAAATTAAAAAATGTTTAATTTAAAAAATAATTTTAAATTTAATTTTCAATTAAATAAAATTAATTTATTAAATTATTATTTAATAATTATTATTAAATTAAATTTATTTTATTTTTCATCCTCTCAACAATCTTGGCGTTAGTTTATCTTTAAAATCTTTTTATGATTTAGAGAATGTGATAAAGACAGTCGTTGATTTTTTAAATTAAATAAAATTAATAAAGTTAATTTTCAATAAAGAAAGGCGAATAAGAAAAGCGAAAAAACTCCAAAAGAAATTTTATACTTTATTTAATTCAAAAATTTATAAAAACGGGAAACTTCAAGTAATTCTTCCAATATTAAAAATAAAAATGAGAACATTCTTAATTTTTATATCTGATTAATCCAAACATTTAAGTCCAATCCTTTTAAGTTTTGAATATTTTGAATAATTTAAACATAATTTTTTAAACAAAAATATTTTTCAGCATGTATCCAAACAGGTCCAGGAACTGGTGTTTGTGATGAAAAAATGGTTAAATAAATTTTAAATTTCAACAAAATTTAAAAAAATAATTTAGCCCCCCACTCCTTGTATTCCCTCTCCAAATGATCCAAATAAACTTGTTTGTCCATCACCAGATTGTCAAAGAGATGAGGATTGTTTAACTTTCGGTTGTAATCAACAAACTAAAAAATGCAATGAATTTATAGAAAAAAGTTTGAAAGGGATAGAATTTTTTAAAATATTTTTTAAATTATTTTGAGATGTCGGAGATAGTTGTAGAACACATAGAGAATGTGGATTAAATAAATTATGTGATGGAAGTCAATGTAAACAAGTACCTCAAGGATCACCTTTTGAATTTAGCACTTTTAGTAAGTCTAGTTAAAAATTTATTTTTCTTAAAGAATAATGGGCATTGGGGGGATGAGAGGTGGGAAATTAATTTGAAGTATGGTAATAGGTATTTTTCTAAATAAAATAAGCACCTTGTAAACAGTTCATTATGTCATATAAACCAATTTAATATCAACATTTAATTATTTATTTTTATAATTGTGTACTGTAAATCCTCCATCTGGATGTGAAGAAACGAGAGGAATGGAGGAATGCAGACCAGACCCAGATCCTTCCACAAATAGAGGTGTTTGCCTCAAAAAGAGTTCAGATCCTGCAGCTAGAAAACAACTTGATGAATTAACAAAAAAAGGTGGAGGAATTGGTGGTGGTATACTAACATATGGCGTTAAGGAAGGAGAAGGTAGATTTAAAAATATATGATATTGAGTGGCAAATATTATCTATAAAATTATTTAAAATTAAGCTTGTACAAGAGGAATTACTCGTTGTGAAACGCCTCTTTATTGTGACGGTGTTTGTAAAAAGACTTGGAATTTGCGTAATGAAGTTAGTGGGCATAGAATACCTCCTCCTCCTGGCGATCCAAATTGCAGAGATTCTTTAGATTCTGACGAAGTAGATGAAAGTAAAACAAAATGTGGTGAAGTTGAGGAACTTTGTAATGTAATTATTTATGTCCAATTAATGAAAGAACAATGTCCAAAAACTTGTGGATATTGTGATGATCCTAGTTTAACTTTAATTGATTATGATAATGAATTTGATGATGAAGAGGAAGAAAGTTTTGAAAGTGAGGAGAGTGATGAAAGTGAAGAAGAAAGGAAAAGAAAATATGGAGGGAATTATTTAATTAATTATTCGTGATAATTTATGTATAGTATTTATTTAGTAAATAATATAATAGAAAAGTGTATTTAATAGTTTTTAAATTATAGTCATGATTTTTTAAATGAAATTCAGTCACCGTGAGACCGTAAATTTCTAAATTGTTATTAATCCTTGGCAAAAAATTTTTGAAATATTTTAAATTATTTTTCTTTACACTTTTATTTTAATATACTATTTTTGTAATACCTATTTTAATATTTAAGATATTTTTAGAATTTATTTTAATTAAATTCTTGACCATTTATATTAATTTAATTTTTAACTATAAATATTTAAAAATGGTTAATAATTCATCAAACACATTTTTGGAATATATGTACCTTCCTTAAAAATGCTTAAGAAAGAATTTTTTTCTTCCCTGGTTTTATCCTTGGTATTTTATGACAACTGACGGCTTTTAAGAAGAATAAAAAAGAAAAATTTTAGAAAAAAATGTGTGAGATAAAATATAAATTGAATGTTTTGGATAAATTAAATGCCAGCTGTCACAGAATTTCTCTGAAAATATTCTTTAAACTTTTTTTAAGGATTTAAGCAACAAATGTCTTCTTCCTTCAATCTCCGATCGAATAAATGTTCTTTTTAAGCACTCAAATTGTCAAACAAAACTTAAATATTTTTTACTTTATTTCAAAAATTCTTTAAAAAATTTAAAAAGTTTAAAACAGTTAATGACGTTTTTAAAAAAATTTTTTTAGAAATTAAACTACACATTTTTACGAAACATTTAAATAAAAATATCATTTCCCCTTTATTTTATCATTTTATTTTCAATTTTTAGACTTTTTAAAAAATTAAAACTTGGACTAGATTTTAATAAAAATGTCCGCTCCACGTAGTGTTGCTAGCGGTGTTGGTGCTGCTGTTATGAATAAGGCAAGATAATTTAACTGAAATCTTCCTAACATAAGATTTAAATTTCTTGTAAAAAGTGAAAATTAATTTTAAGCAAGCAAGTAAATACAATGAAGTTGAAGGAGAACTCCTTCTTAATTGGATTAAGAAAGTGACAGGCGAAAATATTGCTATTAACGGAACTAGGGAAAATTTTGTGAAACAATTGAAAGATGGGACTTTGCTTTGCAAGTAAATAAATATTTTGATTTAATATTAATATAATTATTCAAATTAATTAAAAATAGATTTGCTAACAAAATTGTGCCAAATTCAATCACTAAGGCACAGGCAAAACCGAACAGCACATTCCAGTAAGCAAACTTTGAAATTTTTCTTCAAATATAATCCGGATTAATAGGAATAAAAAGTAACACTTAGCAAATCCTTACGGCCCCAATAAAGCAGAATTCGGAGATTCAAAAAATTTTATCCTTTTATTTTTTGTTTTTTTCTTTCTACATACAAATATTATTTCAATTATTAATTAAAGTTTATTAAAGATATATGAGCAATTTGGAGCTGTTCTTAACGTTTATTTCAAGCCAAGGAGTCCCTAGGGAGGAACAATTCCGAGCAGTCGATTTAGTTGAATCTCGTGACCTCTACTCTGTTTGTATGACATTAAATTCTCTTGGCCGCATTGTAAGACAATTTTTTAAAAATAATTTCCAAAAATTAATTTTAAAGTTGGAACGTCAAGGGAAAACTCATCCAGAGCAGGTTAAGTCGTCAGAAATTCTTAATTTGGGTACTGGTGACCAAGTGCGCCTTCGTGTTTAAAGATGGGAAATTGAAAGAATTCTGTTTAAGAATAATAAAAAGACATTTTATGGCAATAAAAAGAAAGTCAAAAAAGCTTGTCTTTTAAATATTTTGGCAAAACATTTTACTTTCACAAAATTTTAAAATAAATTTATGAAGACTAAAAAATCGTTTATAAGATTTAAAATTAAAAACTACATAAAATAAATTCGTTTTTTAGTTTTAATTATCTTTAAGATTTTTTTTCGTTTTTTTCGTTTAGAGTTCATCTAATTTAAAAATTTTTTGTTTTTCTTTTATAGTTTTTCAAACTGAAAAATCGTTTTCTTTTGATTTTAAAATTGATTTTAAAATTGATTACAGTTCTTTAAAAAATACATATTAAAAAATCAAAAAATTATATTCCATTTTAAAAAATCAAATCGTTCTTTTATATTAAAAAAATCTTAAGTGTTAAAATATACAAAATGTAGAAAACGCAAAATAAAAAATACAAAAATAGTTTATTAAGGCAGATTTAAATTGATATGGCTATATTTGAGTTCTTTTAAAAAATACAAAAATTATTAAAACTCCAAGTTAGTACAAAAATTAAAAACTTATTTCTTTTATTGAATTCTTTTGATTTTAAAATCACAAGAAGAGTGTAAACTCAAAATAAAAGGCCCTTCTTGACCAGATTGAAAAGTCATTGGTTGAATGGAATAAATGCCTGCTGGAATCTTTTCTAATTGTAAAATTGTACATCCTCGCCTAAAATATAATAAAAAATTTTTAAATTCAAAAATATATTGAGGGGATATAATGGATATAATTGAATTGAGGGGGATATAAAATTAAATAAATTTCAATCTACCTAAAAGGTCCAGAATCTTTCCTTTCAAAATCCTTTTTTCGAAAAGAAGAAACTTGGCAAAATTCTAATCCAACACTATATTCTTTTGGTCCTTTCAAGTCAATTAAAAATTCATTTTCATCACTCCCATCTTCAAATTCAATATGGAAAAGAGGATTCTTTAATCTAAAAAAGATAAATAAATAAAAATAAAATTCTAAAATAAATACCGAAAATTTCCTCCATTTGAATCATTTCCACATCCCCCAGCCATTTCTCCCTTCCAATTACCCGTTTCCTTAAATTTATTCTTTTAAATAATTTCTTTATTAAAAACCTTTTTGTGGTATTTATATGGAGATGGAATGTTTCCACATTTAAATTCTGAACTAGCAAAGATACGAAGACTATAATAAATTGTTTTCATTTTTTCATACTAAAAATAAATAAAAATAATTTTTAATTTAATTGGAAAGGATTAAGATTTAATTCCTTCAAGCCCGTAGCCAGGATTTAATTTCGGGGGGGGGAATCACTCCCCCCTGGCTAAGGGCCTGAATTCATTTACAAGTATATCCCTCTCTCCCCCCTCCCCCAATAATTATAATTTTACCTGAGCCAAAACCAATGTAAATTTATTTGTACCAGGATCACGTACAATAAGCTGGCAAAGGTAGTGAGGACTATTTATTCTCGTTCCTTCCAATATTGGTTTAGGTTCATCTAAAAAAATTTTTATTTTAAATTAAAAAATAAAAAACATACGAGGTAAATAAACTCGTTTTCCTTCATTTTTATATACAATTACCTAAAATAATAAAAATAATATTTAATTATATGTATATAGTAACCGTTATGTATTCTTTATTGTTGGCAAAGTCATCCTAAAAATATTAAAATATAAACAAAATTATGAAATATATTTTAGATTTCTTAATTGTTTTTTTGAAATTTCTCTCCTCTGTAAGCTTTCAAATCCAAGGGCGTAGCCTGGGAGCTGTAGTGCACACCCCATTTTAGACCCTGAAATCGACCACACGGCTACGCCCTTGTTCAAATCCCAAGCTCTCAATTTACTCATTTTTAGGACTGAATTAATCCCAAATGTCTAAACAAAATCCGAAACCTTTTTAACAAGTGATAAACTCTAATTTCGAGACAACTGTCATTTTTAATTAATTTCTTTACCTTATCAGTAATATGACGAGTAAGTAAAATCCAAACAGAAGCAGTTCCATGTTTATTATTAACTTCTAATAAATATTGTGGATTTTCTCCAATTGTATATAAATCTCGAATTGGTCCCATTCCTGCATGCCACGAACTAAAATAAGAAGATTTTTAAAAATATTCATTTAAGAAAACAAACGAATGCAAAACATAAGAAAAGGGAAACAATTTTGGATTCCAATTAACATAAAAGACATCAAAAAAGGCACAAACAGATGGATAATCAATCCAAAAAACTCCATCATCGAATTGTTGAGCATCTTTTGGATTATAATCTAATTTGGCACAAAGTTCTTAAATAAGTCGAATTTACTAAAATATCTTTAAAAAATATTTACCAGGTGTCCAAGTTGCCGAATCACTTTCAGAATAACGCCCCTTCCATCTCAAATGTGTCCACGGATTTTTAACCAATAAAAGACATTTACCATCAATTTTTCTTAAATCCAAAACAGCATAAGCATGTGCATCAACTAATCCAGTACGTTCTTGTTCGCTTCTATCTAAATGCCCAGTTGCCAAAGTTATTAAACAATGACCTGAAAATGTTAAAATAAGAGGTTAGACAATGGAAATAATTTTTAAGATTAATGTTCCCCCTTTCAATAACTCATTATTAGAGTTAAATAATTTAATAAAAAGAATTTCAAAATTTATAAATATTTCTAAAAATTCTTATATTTAAAAGAACCTTGATGAAAATGTGCAAAAAGCCGTTCAAAAACTTTTGAAGCATCAAATAATTCATTCTCGTCGGGTCTAATAGGTATACGTTCAGGTATCCAACCGGTAAGTGAATGTAAATCAATATTCTAAAATAATATATTTTATTTATTTATTAAAAACAAAAAATAACCGAGCTAGAACCAGGAAAATCATATCCACCCATCACTTTTAAATAAGCCTTCTCTAAAAGAGAAACCCAAAGTTCACTTCGATTTTGACTATAAGAACAAAGTAATTCTCCATTTTTTCCAATCGGAAACAAATCATCAATTATTATCTTTTTAAATAAAAATAATTTTTAAAATTAAAAAGAAACGAACCTTTCTCCAAATTCCATTTATATGTAATCGAACCATATATTTTCCTGATGGATTATACAAAGGATCTCCATTTTTGTTTTGAGGATAGATGATGCTGGAAAGAATGTTTAAATTAACAGTTTTTTGGATTTTTTGAGAATTTATTATTTTTATAAACTTAAAGTTAGGTTGGGAATAAAAATAAAACAAAAAGGATTTTAAATAAATCCCATAAAACTTGTATGAATTAAAAAATGTGAGAAAACATGTTTTTTGGACAGTGACAAGTCCAGAAAAAATTAATTAAAAAATATTCATTGCTATTAAAATTTCACAAATGACAATTATACCAAAAAACCCTTATTCCTAGAACTCCCATTAAAGATCTGATTACTGAAAAATTTATTTACCCCCCAAAAAATTAATTTACTGTGTAATTAATTTAATTCCAAAACGTCTTTCATATCTCGCAGCAATTGCAAGTGAAGCAACAAAAGAACAATCAGAAACTATAGTCTTTAAAGAAATTTCTTTTTAAAATCAAAATCGAAAAAACCTGTTTAATAGTCCCAGAATCAATTTTATCAATTATTTTTGGTTCATCTTTTATAAATTCATTAGGTCTAAGCCATCCTTTTAAATTCTTTTTCTGTTTTTCAGATAACGGCAAAAGTCCGTCCTTGTCAGTAAATGGAATTGGAAGAAAAAAAGATTCATTTTTCAAATCACATTCTTCAATAAAAGGAATATATTTTCGATTATTTATAAGAGAAGTTGTTGCCAAAACAGAAATTTCATTTTGAGATAATTCTCCAAAATTTTTCTTTTTTTGATCAGACCAACGACGTCTCTGCTGTTTTCCATTATTTTTATTTTCTGTGTTTGGTTTAATTTGTGAGGTTGATTGATCATTATTTAGACTAACCAGACTAAATTCTAAAATTAAAAATAAAATTAATTTTTCCATTAAAATTTTAAAAAAACCGTTGATTGGAACTTTTGGAAATATTTTATTTAAAAAATCAAAATTAATCTCTTCTTCTACTTTTTCTTCATCATCACTTAAAATTGGGGCTGATGGATTGTTGTAACCTTGACTGTTGGTATTTAATGATGATTTAATTTTTTCTGCTCTTTCTATTGCTAATGAAGTTAATTCTTTTAATTTTTGTATTTTTTGAGGATTATTTGGACTTTTAAGCTAAAATAAAAATTAAAAATTAATTAAGAACTTTTTTAAAGAAATATGAAAATTTTTTTCAAATTTAAAAATAAAACAATAAATCGTAGTAAATAATAAGTCAATTTAGAATTAAAAGTTTTTGTTACTTTTCCGTTACCCATACCCCCTATCTACGGACTTTGTGGTTATTTATTTGGATTTTATGTCGGAGCTGTGGTCCGCAAAAAGAATAAAAAAGTCCGCAGAGGGGATAAAAAAATACTAACAAGGAGAGGTTGCGAGGTGTCGGACCCAAAAACGGTCGAGACCGGACCCATTCGATAGAGAATGTGCCCTTTCTAGGAAAGATTTTGAGCCGTTTTTGCCCGTTTTTTGATCGGGCCAAGATATGGCCCATCAAAGTTTTTTAAGAAACACAAAAAATAATCTTTTTAAATAACCTCCAAAAGCCCCAACTCAGCCCCTTCCGTATACAAATTCAAAGCCTCATTATAATTTCCCTTCTCATCATATTCCAAAGCCTTCATAACAAAAGAAAAAGAATCATTCTGTTCTGGTTTTACTTAAAAAAATTAATTGAAAAATCAAAAAATATTTTCAAATGATTTACCATGTTTTTTCAATTCCTCACATCTATTTAAATATTTTAAAGAAATTTCTTTATATTTTTGAGGTATTTTTTTATTTTCGATTAATTTAAATATTTGATTTGCTGCTTTCTAAAAATATTTTTAAAAATAAATTTTAATTAAAAAAAATAAACCGAATAATAAATAATTGCATTATTAAAATCACCAATATCATCATATTTTACTGCTAGTTGTGCTAATTGATGTAATTCATTAATTTCCATAGAAATACTAGCGAAAATTAATTTTAAAAAATTTTTGAATTAAGAAAAAATCTAAAAATAAAGTTAATTAAAAAGGGAAAAATTTTTGAAAGGATTTAATTTTTTGTAACTAGAAAATTATTTTTCTTTTAAAGGAAAAATTCGAAAAAAAATTCCTGACCAACAACCAAAGGTCGTTTCAGTGCCATTTAAATTATAAATTTATTTATTACTTTACTTTTTCTATTTTTTCGCTGGGATTGTATTGAGATTCTAGGCTTAACAGGAATCGAAAATTTATTTTTTCCCAACTCTCACACTCTAAACTTAGCTTTAGGTTTAGGGTGAGAAAGGGAAGAATCTCGAAAAACTAAAAATTCTTTCATACGAGATAAAGAAACAATTACCCACAGGTTATAAAAAGATAAAAAGTGTATAGAAATTAGTGATTGTCAGAAAACTAAATAGTTAATTACAGAGAAAAAAAAAGTATTAAAGATGAAGAGGAAATAATGTTTATTTTTAATGCTCTCTTTCAACTTTTACTAAATATCTATTATTTATTAATGTACATATGTACATAGTTTTTCTTTTTACATGTATTTTATCAAGAAGAAGCATCATCTATTTAGTTTATTTTTGAATGGGAGTTTTTAACTCCCAAATAAATTTTACTGTAAATTCTCCTAATAGGAGCACATCTGCTTCTATTTTTCAACCCTATCGTAGAGTGTGCTTGTATTAGGAGGTGTGCATTTATTAGGGAATTTACGGTATTTGTTTTCTGTATTTTTTGTCATTTTTAATATGTAATAACTAGATTTTTACTCAATTCTTAATTATTTAATTGCGAAACTTAATTTAAATGATCCATTTCGTTATACACCTATTTAATGTAATTACGGCATAGGGTCGGTCCTTGAAAAATCCTCGGATCCAACTTCGAATGTCCGGACTTTTTCTGGATCCGATATCCGGATCTGTAATCATATTCCGGCATAGCACCGTTTTACTTTGAACAAACAAAAATTTTAAAAAAAGTAGACTTATATTTTATTAAAAAAATTTTTAAATTTCATTAAAATGAAAACTGTGTAAACATATAAATATTCACTAACACTATAAATAAAATAAAAATAATTCCTTTAATTATTCTATAAATATTCTTTATTTTTAATTTAATTTTCTCAATTCTTCTACTGTCATATATTTAGATTTTAACATAAATTTAGCAGTTTCTTCTTCAGATAATTTATTTTCTTTAGCCAATATTCTCAAATAACTTCCTTCTATATTTCTCACAAATTCTTCAAATATCCCCTCTTCTTCTGATATAAATTCAAATATAGGCAATCTTTTTGTTTTTATTTTTTCATCTTTTTTAATTCCAATTAACCAAACATTACAAATCCAAGAATTTTGTTGATAATTAAAAAAATATGGGGGGCATTTATTATTTTTAATTATTCTTTTTGGGTGTATATGACAATAATTTATATTTAAATTATTTTGTTTATTTTCTAAAGAAAATAATAATTGGAGTCTAATTCTCGTTTCTACAAAATTACAAAAAGAATTTCCATATAAACTTGTAGGAGAATAATAACAAATAACGACTAAATAATGTTGGTACTTGAAAAAATTAAAATTTAGGAAAAGTACATAATGCCCAGAAAAACCTTTTCTTCAAATTTTTTGCCTTTTAACCATTTAATCCATTCTTGTTTGAGAATTATTGTGGGTATTTTATCTTGTTTATATTTATTTAATGCAAATTCTATATTTTTTAATTCTTCAATACCTTAAATACCGTAAATTAAAGCTAGTCTTTTTTTAGAAAAAAAGTAAAAATAAATTATTAGAAATATTTCATTTCAACTAAATTATTAAAGAAAACACAGCCTAATATGAAAATTTTTATTAAAATTTTAGATATAATTATGAAAGATGGAAATTTCATTAATTAATTATAAGAGACTAAAATACCATTTTTTAAGTGAACGGCACCTTCTACCGTATTTTCTTGATTAATTCCCCTCCCTTGAATAATTCCCCCTTTCGATTAATTCTCCATGCTAGAGTAGCCCACCCCCAAATACCCTACTGCGCGTTCTAATACCAAAACTCGATTAATTCCCCAGGGGAATTAATCGAGAAAATACGGTAAATTAGATGTACCCTCCGAGAAGGTATTGAAAAATAGACAGCTACCTCACATTTAAGAAGATTTTCAGTGTTTATTTTAATTCAATTTTTCTAATTAATTAATAAATATATTTAAATTTTGAAATTAAGTAAATTTAATAAATTATTTTTAATATTTCCCCAAAAAAACCCCTCCCTACCTTCAATTAATTCATGTCTAATAATTGTAGCTGTAGACTGATTTATATTAAAAGCAGCATTTTGTTCAGGAAATGAGGGAGTAATTACTGCCCAAATAATTTTTGTATGTTTTTCCATATCTGGATTTAAATTTAATTTAAAGTGTTCTTTTCTATCAGAAATTTCTTTTTCAGAATTCCAAATAATTTTTTCATCAAATTCTGTTATCCATTTTTGTTTTATTATTGTTTTATTTAAATTAATTTGTGGGAAGTTTCTTTAAAAAAATAAAATTATTTATTAAAAAAATATTTTTTGTTTTTACATTTGTGAATATATTTCCATAAATTCTTTAAATATTTTGATAATGGAATTATTGTGAGGATTTTTAAGAATAATATTACAAATTAAAATTGCAAGAGTTGTGCCATTTATAAAACCAAATTTCCCTCCATATATGGAATGATCTTGAAAAAAAATTAAATTTAAATAATATAGGTAATTTATTTAAATTAAATTTTACTTTGAAACCAAAATTTCAATGTCATAAGTACTAAACGGAAAATATTTGTAGAATGTCCCAATAAATTAATTATCTGTACATTTGCTCGATAACCTTAAAAATTAATTACATTTTAATCTAACAAATACCCTAATAATTATTCTCTTAAATCCAATAATTTCATTAAAAATTTCAAAAATAAATACCAGAAAGTACAAGTAACATTCCCTTTCTTCTATCAGCCCATTTATTTGCCATTAACCTATTAACCCCAATTTCTTTTAAAAAACGTTCAATTATATTATCAATTATGTTAATATTTAAATGTCCATATTTAGGTACTAAATTATTCATTTCTTCATTCCAGGGAAGTGTAACTATATTTAAATCAAATTCTAAACCAGAAAAGAACAATTTTATTAGGAAAACATTTGATTTAATTTTTAATAATGATTCTGTTGAGGAATCCTTAAATTTTAAATTATTTATTATTAGACATTTTATCACAAAAATCTGCTCTTACATATTTATTGTTTCAACAAAAGAATTATTTAAAAATATTAATATTTATATAACCTACCCAACAAAAAATACAATAAAGTGACCATCCTTCACATTTTCTTGTTTCCATGTTGCATTCTGATTGGCCAAAAAATTCTTGAAAAATAATAGTTTCCCAATTAATTATTTTTGGATTATAAGGTATTAATATAACACAATCTATATCTGATTTTTGAGAATAACCTTCAAATAAATAAGAACCTCCAATTAATAAAATTGAATTATTTTTCTTAAAATAATTTTTAAAAATATTTTTAAAATTAATTAAAATAATTACCCAAAAATTAATTATTCCTTTTATTTGTTCTATAATTCCTTCAATTCTATTCTTTTCAAAAGATTCTATTTCATAACATCCATTTTCATTCAAAACATCAATTAACTATAAATTAAATTTATTTTATGTAGTAAAAAAGTAAAAAATAATAATTTTGGAGAGGTGGACAAGGTCTATAATCTATTGGAGAGCAATAAGGTTGGCGGATCCGGATATCCGAGATATACCGGACCTGGATATCCGAAGTTTTCCAACTATCCACCAACCTTAGAGAGCAATAATTAAAAGTAAAAATGGCGTGTTTTGATACAAGATAGTTGGAATCAGTCCAAAATTAACTCGATTATCCGGACTTCACAAATTTACAAATTAATTAACAAAATTAAATAAATACTTTTTAAAAAATATTTATTTAATTTTCATTTTCCCAAAAATTATTTAAGAAAACATTTTTACTAAATTAACAAACCGTTCCCTGTTCAACTTCCATTTCCTCAATATTAATTAATTTATCCAAAAATTTTTTCAATTCTTTTTTAATTTTTCCAAAATTTTCAATTCTTTTATTTAATTCAAATTCTTTAATTAAATTCCATTCTTCATTTAATAAATTAATTTTTTCATTTAATATTTCTTTTTTATTTATTAAATATTTTTTTATATTTTTTTCGATATAATTAATTAAATTCCCAATTTCAATCATTTCTTTATTTTTTAATTTATTTTTAAATAAATTTTGATAAAAATGATTAAATCCATTATTAATAAAATCTATAGGTAAAATTGTGTATTTTGATGTTGAACTTGAAGGTCTTTCTTTAATTATTTTAATTATTTTATTTAATTTTTTATTTGTTGTTTTTGTTGTTAATATTTCATTTTCTTCAGCAGAAGAATAAATCTTTAAAAATTAAAGTGATTTATTTTTTGGAAATTAAGTAGAGGCTTTATACCTTACGACCTAGTAGTGTATTTATTGTAATAAATTAGAATTGTGATTTGGTTGCCGAAAAATTTAAGAAATTTATTTTTATTTTTAATGCTCATATTTAGATATTACGAGATATTAACTAAAAAATTCAATTAATTTTTGACAAGAAATTGAATTTTGAATAAGTAGTCGGCACGTTTTTTAATCATAATTCGATTCATAAAACTTTATTTATTTTTTAGATTCCCTATAAATTTACTTATTTCTTAAATATAGCTAGATTACCGTTATTTTTCCTTTTTCAATTAATTCCATTCTATTATTATTATTATCATCATTTATTATTATTTCATTATTTTTACTTTCTTCACTGTCAACAATACTAATCTCTTCTTTAATAATTTCCTCATTAATATTTTCTCCAA